CATCATGGCTGAGTCCTGGAGCCTCAGTGACTCTGAGCTGTGAGGTTCAACATCCACCTGCAGGAACCAGGTTCTTCTGGTATAAAGCTGTTCCTGATCCATCAAACATCTTCTACGGTTACAACTATGAGCTGCTGCCTGGCAGCTCCAATGGGACTGATGAGAACGTCTACATTGTTCATGGACTCAATAACACAGCAGGTTATGTGTGTCAAGCAGGAAGTGGAGAACTAAAATACAGAGATCCAACTTTTGTCTGGTCAGCAGGTCAGTTTATCTGTGTGTCTCCACTCAGTGAGTAAAAAAATGTTTTTACATTATTTCTACTGATCCAAGAACTTTATCCTTAACAGTAATTTAAAGTTGTTGGATTCATTATCACTGTAAAAAAGAAATGTTAAAGTTTTATCTTGGATGTCATATATTGTTGAATTTATCCAAAGCACAATAAAAACATAAAATGATAAAGTGAAAAGTAAAAGTTTTGGTGTATTTGACAACAACACCCCTCTGACCAAAATCACTAATGAACTGCAGTTTGTCTTTTGAGACAAAGTTTTTGTTGAAGACATTTTGTTTGATTAATTTATTGCTTTGATAAAATGTATATTTGAAACTAAAGACAATAAATAAAGCCATAGATGATTTGGATGTTTCTATATTTATTTTCCAGATCCTCATCCAGCAGCTTCTCTCTCAGTGAATCCTGACAGAGTTCAACACTTCAGCTCTGAATCTGTGACTCTGAGCTGTGAGGGAAACTCTGCTGAGTGGAGAGTGAAGAGGGTTACAGAAAGAGGAGATCTGTCAGACTGCTCCAACTGGGGGAGAATGACTGGATCTACATGTATCGACATCTTCCTGCTTCGTAGAGGAGTTTACTGGTGTGAGTCTGGATCAGGAGAGATCAGCAATGCAGTGAACATCACTGCACATGGTGGGTTGTGATTTATAAACTTTTTCTTTCAGATTTTTATATTTAATATTTATACAGTGCAGAATGTTTCTTATATCTTCTTCATTGTAAAACACAATATTTATGAATTACTCATTTTTCTCTCCAACAAAAATACAATTTAACTTTTCGAAAAGTAAGAATCATAACATAAAATCAAATGATGATTTTGATTATTGCATGTAGACATTTTCTTCCAACATATGGATTCTTTCTAAAACTGGAGGTTCTGTGTTTTACTTCATGACGTCAAATTCAGTTGTTTTAAATGCACAAGATCATTTGTGTGTAAGTGATTATTTAGAGGTCACTTTTTTAAACATTCACTACAAATAATTTGTCTGAAATCAAAATATGTTCTGATTTATGTAAATGTAAAATCTTTCCTCAATGACATACATCTCCAACTTTGAAACTAATGCCTGAAATGTAATTTTATCTGTTGTACAGACATTAATAATATAATCCTGCTGAGTCCTGTTCATCCTGTGACTGAAGGAGATCCTGTTACTCTGAGCTGCAGAGATAAAACACAACAACTTCTCTCCAATGTGTTTTTCTATCATAATGATAAACTCCTCCATAATGACAGCAGAGAGGAGCTGAAGATCTCTGCAGTGTCAAAGTCAGATGAAGGTTTCTACAAATGTCAACATTCAGGAAAAGATTCACCAAGGAGCTGGATGTCTGTTAGAGGTGAGGAGGATTTTAAAGACTTCAGGTGTCTTCTTTGGTGAATCCATTTAGTTGTTTGGGGAGAAGATTTTAGATCTTTTTGAGGGTGTGATGCAGATGTTTTTCCACTTTCATTCCTTTTTAATGTTTCTTATTTCCAGTAACTGTATCCAGTCCTGTCAGCTCTTCATTTCCTGTCATGTTGATCGTTGGACCAGTTGTTGGAGTCGTTCTCTTTATTCTCATTATTCTCCTGCTCTTGTTGTGGTGCTGCAGACGGTCCAAAGGTGACGCCATTTTTTTTCCTGAAATATATTATTGATCCATTTTTTTAAGAAAGATGATGTGAGAGATATGACTGCAGATGCAAATTAGCCTCAATTCCTAAATGTGGAATTTAGATAATGAACTTAAATAACTGTTACTTAATACACATTGTTGCTTATAAATAAAAAACATGGAATAATGTGATATAAAATATATTTTCACAGGTTTATGGTGCATCAGGTCAGTGCAGCAGTTTATTTCCTTTAAAATCTACAATTTTCAAACTGTCATCAATTTAATTGCATGTCTGATGTTTCAGATCGAAGCAGGCAGAGGGCAGAGGTCAAACCTCAAACACCAACCATGGAGTCAACAACACTGAAGATAATGACTACAGATCTCCTCCTCAAGGTCAGAGCTTCAATGTTTGTGTTTAGTCATTGAGATTTGTTACGTCTAATTATGATGTCATTGATAATGATGGTTTTTAAGCGTCTTTTTCATTCAAGTTTAATAAAATTTGACGACGATGCCAGTGAGAAATTTCCATACAATCACGATTTGCATGAATGTCATTAATTTTGCGTTTTTTAATGCTGCATTTTCACTCTGCTTTTGATGATACACTTTAAAAAATGTACCTTAAATTGATTGTGGCTCTTTTTACTGATCCACATAAGTGTGAAATGTAAACATGCCAACTAAAATTTGAATACATGTCCTCCAGAAAGTCGCAGTGAAGCTCAGTGGTTGAAGTTTGCAGCCATCAGCAGGCATTGCAGTGGCCGCGTGTTTGACCACTTTTAAAATGGTAAAAAGAAAAATGCTGAAGTTCATCTTATCTAGTTGGTTTCCCGGGAGAAGATCCATATTTTAAGAAAATGTTCTTTAAAGAGTGAGTAGACGGATGCAGTAACTCAGATTTGTTCCTGCTCTTTTTCTTGAGAAAAAGGAAATGCTGCACTGCTCAAAATAAAAAAAAAAAACAGCGGTGTGCATTTCTCCTCACAAACTCAAACATTTACTGTAATAAGAGATGAAAACATCGAGCTAGTTTTCTTTGAATGTGTGGTAATGTTACATTTTGAAACTATTGTTTCCACATCTGCTCTTCTATTTTTTTTCCTCGGAAACAGCATGTTTGTCTCTACCAGTTATCGCTTACGCAACTGTAGCAGAGAAGCCGTTTATCTCACTTATGTTCATTTTTATCTCTCCCATTAACATTTTAGCCATAGTGAACCATATTTGGAATGAGCTATTTTGACCAACGTTGCACAACATTTGCTGTTTTCTTCTTTAGATAAAGGCTTCCTCAGTAGCATGCATGTCACGACTGTTGAGTTTTTATTTTTTATTTTTTTATTGCTCAACTACTTCTACTGGTACAAATTCACCATGTTTTTCTTCCAGAAACAGCAGAAGTAGATTAGACTGATGATGTTTGACTGACAGTATTATGACTAGACTTGGTGACGGCTGCAAAAGTTTTAACAAAACTTGCTGAATTACATTTAGCCACTAAATTCCACTTGTTCTACCAATTCCCCTCTAAAATGTGTTACAGAAATGTGTTTTTTTTTAAGTATTATCCACATAAAAAGAAGAAAGCGCCAAAAAGAACGTTTCCCCTCTTTTACTGCAGATAACACCAACCTCTATGCGTCAGTCAAGTCCTCTGAAGCGACAGGAAATGGTGAAGTACATCCTTGAAACACAACAGATGCAAAAGTTAACTTTGATCCGCCGTAGCTCATCTAAAACCGTGAAACGTTTCAGCTGCAGATGAACCCAGAGATGTCACGTACTCTCACATTGAACTGAAAGACGTCGACAGAACGAGTGAGTCCCAATTAATGTGCAACAGGAGAAAAACGACTGAGCGGTTTTAACCTTCCTGTCGTTGCTGTGACCATCCCAACAGGGAGGCCTCGGGAAGCAGAGGAGAGCGCCGTTTACTCTGAAGTGAAGTTGCAGGAGTAGAACGAGAACAAACTGAAAGGTAATATTTGATTTCACAGATATTCTATGCTGTGATGTAGGAAAAGCGAAATCATAACAGCAATTTAAGGTTTACTGTCGTCATATCGATTTGGGCGCCATTTAATACAAAAGTGAAAGTTGGGTTTGAGCTGAACAAATGCTTGCCGAGATGTTTTCTGTTCCAGATTTCAATCAGGAGTTTAGTTGAGTTGGTTACAGTTACCAAGGTTCGGTCATGCATACAGTTCATGAGTCTCATGCTGGCCGCTTGCTTAGCTGAGATGAAATAAGTACAATAAATCCAAAAGGAAAATGAAAGGTTAAGAATATGTGTGCATTCATCTTTATTCGTCAAGGTCAAGCGTTTTTTATCTTTAAAAGTTGTACAATGACGAATCTGTTGAAAGGTTTCAGATTCCTGATTCACCATTTTCATTCTGAAGCTAAAAGTTTGACACAGATCATCTTTTCATTTCCAGACCGGAGGAGTCCTGCAGCAGCAGACTCAGTATTTTATTCTGAAACCAGGTCAGGATAACAAAACTGCCACGTCAGATACACGATGTGACGGACTCTTCTAGAAGTTATCATGAGTTCAAGCTCATCACGTCCTTCAAAATCCCACTTTTTCCACATGTTCCTGTGTAGGAGTCTTTTAAGGAAGCTGTTTTATGAAATTACTGCAAGTGCTGAAATGTGTTTTCTTAAATTCTTTGATTCATATTTACTGATGTAAAATTTAAAGTAGAGCAGCCTTTCTTTGAGCTGATAGTTTTTCTTTAACTCTTTGAAGACTTGGATGTAAATGTGTTTTGTCGCACAATGCAGCAAAGAAAGAAAATGTGAAACGTGTGGATTTTTTTGTAGTTTTGTTTCGCAACGTGTTTAAATGTATTAGTTGTTACTGTAAGCTCTCTTTCTTTTTCAAATTTTGATAAAATTAGTGTTTTCATATTTGAATAATTTGTCTTTTCATGCTGTCGTGTTTTCATTTGCTACTGCATCACATTTCTAGTGTAGCACTTTATGTACATACATCAGTCATCCAACTTAACAGTGATTGCGTAGTCAGCCTTACAGTTAAAATGTAATGCATTTATAGTTTTTCTAAGCCATGTGTCTCCAATCAAACGTATTGTGAAGAAAGATCCGTCAAAATCCGTATAATTAAGTTTGAATACATGAAGGAAGTGATATAGTTGGGATTTTTCTGAACGGTTTAATGTTGTCAGTCATCTGATTGAGGGTTTAATCTCACCAGATTTTATTAATAACTTTATTTTACAATAAAGTGCCACAGACTTTATTTAATAACATTTCACAGCTGTTTTACTTCTAACAAACTAATTTAAATTAGTTCCTCCCAATCTGCAAAAGCAAAAACAAAAAAAAAAAAAGCAGCAGTAGTTCATTTTCAGCTGCTAAAAGCATGTGATTGGTTGCTAAAATACATACATTAAATATTCGTTTGGCATATATTTTACATAAAAAAATCTGCAAAAATACTTTTTTTTCTTTCAAGAATGGTCCATTTCATTTTGTATCATTATTCCAGGATCAAGTCATCTTCTGAAAATAATTCAAATGCTGAAATACTGAACAGTAAATTCAGATAGGATGCTCAAATAGGAAGTCAAAGTACTGAAGTCAATCAAATGGTCTAATACTTTTTACTGATTTGTTTTATAAAACTACACAACACTTTAAATCAGTTCAATTAACTTTATTTAGACAGTGCTTTATTCACAACAAAAGTCATCTGTACAAAAAACAAACAAGTGCAATTCAAATCCTGCTGGATCTGTTAATCATTTTCACTCTAACACAGTGATGTGATAACCTAATACGTTTGAACGTTGAAGTAAGCAAGATGTGTATGATGTTTAGAAAATATTGAACATCAAAAATTAATAAATAAAACTGCATATTGAAGGTAAAATTGTCAAGAATCTGAGAAAAAAAAACTTGATGGTTTTGGTTGTTAAATGAAGTTATTTACCTTTTTCTTCAAATAAAAAATTTGGCCGTTTTATAGATTTTATTGGAGGTGGTCCACAGGTTGATGGAGATGAGTGGGAATTTGTCGCAAAACATAACAAAACAGAAAGAAAAGCAAAAAACTGGGCTTCACTTTTATCAAATATACAACTACTGGCCCAAACATGTCACAATCAAATTTGTACATCTGACCATGTTTAGCTTTGGTCATCACATACCATAAGAGAGTTTAAAAAGACTTTATCAAAGGGTCGCATTAATCTGTAATCTTGTATGGATGGGGAGAAAGAAAACGCACCATTTATCATCTTGTCTGGGAATAAATTTCTAACTTTATGCTCAGATTATATTCGGTTCTCCTTGAACCACTATAAAAACGTGAGCAAGTTATTTGGCTAGGCAGTGTGTGTCACCAAATATAAGACACTGTAACGGCCTAGTAAAATGATTTGATGAGTTAGTTTCCATCCGTTATTTCAGGATTTACCTGAAATAATTTGGTGTTTTACTCATTGGGAAATATTTTGTACTTTGCTGTATGTGCTTGTCAGTAAAACCTCTGAACTCTTCTGACTATTTGAGGAGAAAATCAAGCAGGTGTTATGAGAAGTAAACTTTTATGAGAGGGACTTTTAACGCTCACACTTTTAGCTGGAATTGTACAATAGAAGTGCTACATGATTCCAAATTTAGCTGTTTTTCTAATAAGGCATGAGTGTACGTCAAAAAAAATGTTAACGCACGTCTTATAAATTATCAACGTAAATCCACATGCCAAGAGATTGAAGAGATGTCAACAAGAAATGGATAATACTTGTTTAAGTAGCAGATACATAAACATAAATACGATATATGAAATGTTTACATACTCCACTTTGACTCCGCCCACAGCCGATCTGAGGCCTGCACCATGAAGCAGGATTAGTGGCGTTGTAAAGTAAGCCGGTTCTTCTTATCTGGGTTTATCACCATGGTAACTAATTCTGGAAATGCTAGATCGGGTTACTAGATTAGAGATCAACACATCTTAAAGCGACGACTTTGCTAGTTCCTGATGACTTTTCAAGTGTCAGGACTTACCTTTAGTTAAGGTTCTTTAATTAATTCTCAAAATATTTCTGAAAAAATGAGTGTATGGGGACAGAATGCACCATGACAGTGTCATACTGTTAATAACTTTTAAAAATTATATAAATTTAGAAAAAAATCATGTAAGCTAAAACACTTTAGAGCCAGGTTATTCCTAACAAGTATCTTTGACCTAACTTATGTTTACTGGTAAAATGTTTGACATCTGGAAATTACGAAACAGAATAAAACGTTTCTCCACGATTGTGACTGGTTCACTACTTCCAGCTAACATCGGTTTTGTGCTGACTTGACAAAATAAAAGCCAGCTTCCTAATGGGCTGTAATCTGTCTTACGTTATGATGTTTGGATTTGGTTCAGCCAGACAAATTTAAAGTTTCTTTATCGAAGCTGCTTCACGGCACAAGACTCGGCTCCGCCTTCTTCTCTGTCAGAACTCCTTGATTGTCATCATCAAAGTACTGATTTGTTATCAGAGGTTTTTGTTATTGCTTTCACAGTGACCACAGTGTTCACCCTCTCACGTATCAGTAAAGCTGCAGTTGGTTCATAAAATTCTGTTTAAATGTTTGCTACTCTAAAAGAGTCTCACTCAGTTTGCAGCTGCAGGAGCAGAGCCGGCTGGCTGACTGTTGCATCACGTTGAAGACTGGTTGACATCATCGCCGTCACTTTCTCTACCTCCGCATGCCTTTGGCACCTTCACAAACCTCTCTGACCTCTGCACCTGAGAGATTGGCGTTTCTATGGCAACTCTCCCAACATCATTAAGAGGTGATGCAAACAACTTGCCTTCAGCAAATCCATCATCATCCTTATCATCACCAGATTAGTGCAGAAAACAAGCACACGTGTGCTTTAGATGTTTGCGTTTGTATAAATCTGTGTGTGTGTGTGTTTGCTACCTGTGTCTGATGGGTTGCATATTTGGATTCATATGATTTATATCACTGTCTGATGTGTGTGTGTCTGAAGAACTTTATGCTATGCGGTCATGTGTTATGGTGTGTGTCTGGTGTGCTGGTGTGTGCAGTGTTTTCTGTGTGTCAGTGTTCGTTGGGCATGTGTCGGATGGTGTGGAAGATCCAGTCCATCTTGGTGCTCCATCCCCCGTGATGAGCATCATTCATCTGTTTTGTGAAGTACTCCAGCGCCTCCTGCTGGCTCTTTTCTGGGAGAAAGAAAACACAGTGCATATATTTTTTTTTTGTAAAAGTTGTTTTGTTTTTACACTTATCTGTTCAGTTCTCTGTTTATATCATTAGCCATTAGAACAAAAAATCTGACCTAATGACCTTCAACAAGGTCCTTGTCAAAGTTACTCAAAACGTAGCCCAAGCACGCCTTAGGATTCCTTCATTAGTCTGAGTCCTGGAAGACATTTCTTCTATTCTACCAACATCATCACAACTCTAGCTAAACTAGTGTGGGAGGTCATCCTGATTGGTCAAAAAATCTACTTTCCACAATTTCATCATCAACCCACCACCTGGACCAGCTCCAATAGTTTGTCCCTGATCTGTCAATCTCAGGAAATTTGAGGCGGCCTGGTTCTCAGTCCAAGTTGTCCCTGTACATGCCGGGTTATTCAGGTTGCTTTGGTCACCAGCTGAGTCCAGAACTGAACCATTCAAGATTTTTCCAAATGCCACATTTGCATATTTTGTAACACTTGTGTTCGACCTTCATTTTTTCTACTTTCCTCTTCTGATACGCTCACTTTTAACCTCTGTTTCTCTCATTACTCTTCCTGTCTTCTCTTTTCACAAATCTATCCTCCATTTTTACCTAATGCGAGGGTCTTCCTAAGGTAGGCGATGTCATCAAAACTCTGCAGTTCAGGCATGCCGCAGCCCAGCATGAGAGAGAAGAGGTTGATGAAGAGGCTGGCGTGCTGCCGGATGGCCAGGTAAGCTTTGTAGCACATCTCCTGGAACCTGCACCACAGACGGGTAAACACGGATGAGACAGGCTCTGAGACAGACAGCAGAAGCAGCTGCAGACAGATGAGGACCGGACGAGACCTCTCAAACTCCTTTGTCTTCGTCGATTCCTGAATGCCTTTACTGATGACGATGAGAAAGTCCTGAGTCAGGACGAAAGGTACACGCTCCCTTTTGTAGCCAAACTTCTTCTTCTTGTGATCTAGGAAGTGACCGAAGTCGATGTGGAACAGCTGAAGGGAGAGGAGTAAGAGTCAGCGTGGTGAGCTATGGGAGGACGAAGTGAAGAGGAGGAAGAAGAGGTTCACCTGTCCGTTCTCCTTCACCATGATGTTGGAGTTGTGTCGGTCTCCAATTCCCAGGATGAATGTGGCAACGCAATAGCCTGCACAGGATCTGGTGAACAGGTCGATGGCCCGATCGTACCTACGAGACAGGTAAAACAAGTGAGTCGAAAGGATTGATACACATATGGAGAACTAACAAACAGTTGGAAAGAGTTCATCCAGAACAGCCAGATGGAGCAGGTCACAGACGCATACAGTTCAAAGGACAGATCTACAATCAGATGGAGGAGTACTGACGCCTCTCCGTGGTTCTTGTCTTTGATCCAGTGGTGAAGAGTGTTGGAGTTGAACTGCAGCGCCCCCTTCAGGCCTCCTTTGCACTGAATCTGCATGATGGTATAGCTGTTCTTCACCACCTCAATGAGACCCACACGGTCACCGATGGACAGGCAGCCGTACGGCAGCATTCTGCAACACACAAAACATGGTCATGCGCGTCACTGATGTCACTTCCTCCGATGACGCCACCGGCTCTCACCGCAGGTCCAGGCCTTGGTTCTGCCAGATGTTCTCCATGATCTTAATGATCTGCAGTGTCAGCATGTCTTGACGCAGATCTGCAATGGAAACAGAACA